ATCTCTTGTTTGAATTCTTTGAACTTTTCAAAAGATTCAGACTTATGTCTCATTAGGTACACGTAACCATACCGTGAGTAATCATCGGTAAAGGTTATAAAATAAACATGCTGGTTACATGTCCTAACATTCAGGGGGCCACATACATCAGTATATATAAGGTCAAGTGTGCCTGTACATCTTTCAGGCTTACCGTTAAATGGTTGTTTCGTCATCTTACCCTGAAGGCAAGGTTCACATGTTGGAAGATCTTCTACAGTTAGAAAATCCAAAGGACCATCCTTTACCAACCTTGTGATACGATATATATTAATGTGGCCAAGTCGGTAATGCCACAGGCACATGGGATTCATTGCATCACGGGTCCTCTTCTTGGGGATTATTTCCGACGTAGTTTCAGTAAGGTTCGTTTCCAGAGAAGGATGGAGAGCATAGAGACCATTCTCAAGTTCTCCGTATGCGAGGAATTTGTTATTCCGTTTAATAGTAATCACATTACTGAATAAGATAGAATAACCATCCATGCACAATTTTGAGACAGAAATCAAATTTCTTCTTAAATTTGGTAAGAAAAGACAATCTTTCAGTACATTAATTCCTTATCTGAAAACTAATTCTACAGTTCCTATGGTTGTAGCTGCAATTGTTGCAAAAGTCCCCAAGTAGAGCGTCACTTCTCCGTCACTCAGTCTTCTGCTTATCTTGAACCCCTGCAGTGAGTTACACGCATGAGTTGAAGCCCCGGAGTCAATACACCAGGAAGTAGAAGTGACCAACAAATTGGTCTCTATGATAAAAGATTCGAAATTACCTTTCTTCTTAGTCTCCAGAAATTGAGGACAATTCCTCTTCCAGTGGCCGGTCTGTTTGCAGAAGTGACAGGCATCCGATGCCTTATCCTTCTTCTGCTTCTTAACGTTACTACTTTTCTTCTGAGCCTTCCCTTTAGCCTTCCGCTTTCTCTTGCCCGATTTTCCACCTTCAACAAGCATGGCTATCGACTTATCCTTTTTAATCAGTTTTTCAGCCCTTTGCAACATATTACTGAGTTCTTGAAGGCTAACATTTAGCTTATTCATGTTATAGTTCATGGTAAAATGATTGAAGGAGGGAGGCAGGGAATTGAGTATAGCATCAAGTTTAGTGTCATGGTCTAGCCCTGACCCGAGAGCCTCCAGTTCATTAATATAACCCCTTATCTTTAGACAATGGTCATGAATCTGTTGGTTCTCGGTCATCTGTGCAGTCATAAACAATTTTAAGACCTTTTGACGAGTAGAACAGTTCTGCTCCTCATACATAGTCCTTAGACTATCCARTATGGCCTTGGACACTTCGATTTTATCAAATTGCCTCTGTATCGGATTATTTAAAGAGGCTATAATATAACACCGGGGAAGAGAATTTTTCTCCTCCCATTCTTGATACACTCTTCGTCTGGCCTCAGAAGCCCTATCACCCGGATGATCCGAAGTAGGGTTTTTAGCAATTTTGTCCAATTTCTCAGACGTTAGGACCAGCATAAGGTTACGGAACCAATCAGCATAGTTTGGGCCCTTAAGCTTGTTGTCATCCAATAGTTTAGCGAATTGATCGTTTGCCATTTCTGATAAAGGGCAAAACAAATATTAGTCCACAACCTTATTTGATTCATGTTATCTACATAGATATGGCTTTTAAGCTATGTTTCACTTCCATTTATTCATCTCTGAGATTTCCCTCCTATCTCAGTGGCGGAGACTGCGAATTATGTCTCTAGAAACCTTTGTGTGTGTGTGTGTGTATGAATTAGCCCCTTTAACAAACCTTTGACTGCACTAACTCCTCCCAAAGCAAATATCTCTCTCTCTCTCTCTCTATGTGTGTGTGTGTGTGTATGAATTATGGCCATAGACATTAATTAGTGCCCATTCTTTATCATCAGTTATTCTTTTAATTTTCAAAGAGACTGAATATTTCCCAATCAGTTCCCCTAGACATTCCATTTCCTCATTTTTTTCACTCTAAGAATTCTCCCTAAAGAACCCAAGATGTGGTGTAAGCCCAACTTAGTCCCCTAGCTCCTCAAATACTCCTTATCCACCTCCGAGATCTTTGTGCCTTGAATCAACAACAGTCTTTCTTTACTTACAACATTCTTTGTCGTCCTTCTTTTTCTAGTGCCCTTGATCATAGTGCCCTTTTTCTCCTTTCTTTCCTCCTACTCTCTTCTTTGTCATAAACTACACTGCTCACGAGCTTTTCAACTTCACTCTTCCTTTACTGTTTTATCTTTTTTAAGTAAAATTTTATTCCTTCTGGTTTTTCTTTAGTGGCCTTTCCTAGTTTTTTCTGTTTCATCCCCTCAACTTAAGAGGGCTCTATCTATCTGATCCACATTAGTTGCATCATTCTGCTTTGGGTACACTTGAGCCCAACTCATAGATAGTGGTAATTTCTGCAAATCCAGCTTCTTTTGGTTCCAAAAATTCATTGTTAGAGGGTTCATTAGACAGTATTTCCATCCCCAAAGTTTTGTCCTCCACCTTCTTAAATGCCTTGGTAGAGACAACACTTCTGATGCTTGAGGGCTTGCTTACTGCTTCCTCTTGCAAATCTTCCCAATCATTGTCAGTGTCCGAATTGTCTTGTTGTTCTCTAAAGTACCTTTGTATTTGGTCTTTATGGGGTAGTAGCATTTTCAACCACTACTGGCATCCAAACCAGCTTGATGCCTGAAGCCTTACCACCAATTTTCTTCTGTAAAGACATTAGGGAGTTTCCTCTGTGCCTTTGCTTCTCCGACACTTTCTGTTTAGGGATATTAGGGCCATAGTTGTCAAGGCGACGCCTAGGCGCCCGCCTAGGCAACAAGGCGCCCTTTGAGGCTCGCCTCGCCCAATCGCCTAACAGTTTTCTACTTCCTACTATAAAAATACTTTTTTATTCATTCTTTTTTGAGATTATAATTATAAAATAGACATTATTAAACTAAAATAATCATTTTGTGTGTTTATATACTAATTTCTTTTTATTATTTTCTTATTTATTAGGGTTTAATCAACACAAACATTGCTAAATGCTGTATTGAACMYTCAAAGACTTAAAAACCTGAACTAATAAGGAAGAACTAAAAATTTTATCTAATCAGCACATTTTCCTCTTCCATATATTCTTCTTCTACTTCTTCTTCTTCTTCTTCTTCTTCTTCTTCTTCTTCTACTACCAATACTTTTTATTTTCTTCTTTTCCTATAACAAAAATAAGGGTTCAGCCCCTATATTTTTTGAATTTTATTTTCCTTCTTCCTTTTCTTCTCATGAATATGTTGATTTTCTATACTTTAATATGAAATTTATACTTCTCTTATGAAAACCATGAATAATTATTAAAGAAATATGGTTATGGTACCTAGGGAACTACCCTAGGATCTATTTTTTAACATAAAAAAATTCATCGCCTAGGTGACTAGGCGCCCCCCAGTCGCCTACCCTCGCCTTGGAGCCTTGAAAACTATGCTTAGGGTCGAAGGGGATGATGATAGACCACCCATAGAATCGTCCCCCATTGGTCTTTCTAAACAGGTCACGTGATCATTGAAAGAGTCACGCGAATCGCCTGGGGTTACCTCCAATTAACCTATGATTTGACTCGGTTCAACCACTGGTTCAGCACGTCACACTCTTTCACCTTCCTTGCCACATACGACAAATCCTTCTAACACAACCTCTGCAAAAGTTTTGAATTTTACCCTATGATAATGAACCAACGGTCCTTTCTCCTTGCCTTTAGTAATCTGTCCAACTTCTTTCGAGAGGGGAGACAATTGAGTTTCCTTTCCATTTCCAACGTTATTTCCTTCTTCCTGTAACAAGGGACCATATGCCAGGTGGCAAGTCATCATCTTCTTCTTTAAAGGCTTCCTTCCAGAGTTTGGCTTCCATCGTTGACAGAAGGCAAGCTTTGTATGCAAGACCATCAATGAAGACCTGCACCATTCTAGGAATGGTTTCAGGCTTAACCCTCACCAGTCTAATTGGTGCAGCTCTATTCTTCCTTGTGTCGATTTCTTCTAACACTCCCCCACACAGCCGAGCCTTTTGAAATGTATCTTCTAACATTCCTCCAAACTTACCATGTATGTAGGTTTCCATTTTTCAACAATTATGCCTTTTTTCTATTGGTATTTGGAGTACATGAATCTCCTCTTTGAAGTTGAATTGATCCACCTCTGCTTTACAGTCTTCGAAAGGGGTTAGTATCATGGTTCCTTCAGTACTTAACCTTTTTCTGATTGCGTCTGCTACTCAATTCCAGTCTAGTATTTTCCTAGTTGCAGAAACAATAGATCTTCTGCTCCAAAACACTTTTGAGCATTTCACTATGGCTTTAGGCAAATTGAACAGAAGAACGTAGGGGTAATGTTCTCCTCTTATGCCACCTGTTCAAGCTTCTTTATCAATGATTCTTCTTTCCCAGTATCTATTTCAAGGGTACTCTCATTAAGTAAACTATAGCTCTCTTCTCTGTAGAGTCTTAGAAATCACAGTCCAACCCATCCTATGTTTCCCAATGGGAAGCATACTATTTGCTTTCTTCTTTTCCCATACCACTCTGTCAATGCGATTAACCAACCTTTGGAGTTATTTCTCACCTCCATTGTATACACTCTTTCTCCGGACTTGTATATTTACTGATTGAATTGTTCCATCAAGAAATCCCTCAAATCAAGTTATCAAATCTCCCATCAAGTAAACTATATTTCTCTTCTCTCTGTTTCTTCAAGCAGGAACTTCTTTGCCTCCACTCTGAGTTCTCTCTGCCATCACCAATTCACTTGTAGATTCATTAAGGAGTCCTCTCTGTACTGATGTCCTGTCCCCGGGGGGTAGGGTTTCTTTTTAAAGAGTATGTATTTTTCTCAAAAAAAAAGATAAAGGAGTATTTATTAATAACCAGAATAGCTTTATTTATTATTTTTTCATACTCATTAACCTTAACCATGAGTTTTGTCATTCTAGGTATAATGATGCAAGAAAAGGAGAAAGGCTAAAGGAATTGCGAGATAAGTTATCTGGACATGAATTTGAACTCCAACGTCTTAAGAATAAGAAACAAGAGATTTCAGCTGAACTGGAGAAAAGTAAGGAGTTGAGGCGGAGTCAAGATAAATTAAAACGAAATATTGATGATAACTTAAAGTATCGGAAGACAAAGGCTGACCTGGATGAGCTTACTTGTGAGATAGAATCTCTTGAAGATAAAATATTGACAATGGGTGGAGTTTCTACTATTGAAGCTAGTCATAAAAAAGCAATGCAGGAAAGAGAAAGACTAATGTCAGAGGTAATTGAGTATATTAACATAATTGAGTGTACTACTTGTCACTTAACCAGAATTACAATGAAAAACCAGTTTATGTTTACCATTTCTTTAATGATGACATCCTATGGATGATCTGCATTTTTTATGATATAATCAATTACTTGCTCACTTAAAGTACATGTGAAACCTGCAAATATTAATTAGAATTGTGGTCATTTATTTTTTCTTTGCAGAAAGATGTTCTAACTAAAGGTTACCTAACGCAAAACTAAAGGAGTAGTTGGTAGATGTTCTAGCTAAAGGTTACTGTTGAACAAGACAAAGGGAGAGAGGAGAGGCGAGAGGACTAAGAGCCCAAAAGAATACTGTAGGCGTGCAGTATGTTATTATTTATACTAGGATGGTCGTACAACTTAAAGGATGAAGAAATTACAAAAGTACCATTGCGGTACCAAACAAATATACAACAACATTTGTCAACACTCCCCCTCAAGTTGGAGCATAGATATCAATCATGCCCAACTTGTCACAAAGATCATGATGTCTTGAGTGGTGTAGTCCTTTTGTAAAGATGTCTACAAGTTGGTTCTCAGAGTTGACATAGGGAGTACACACTTCGCCTGTGATGATTTTCTCTCTGATAAAAGGACACCAACAACATATTCAGCTTCAGCACTGGATCTAGCCACTACATTTTGCTTCTTACTTCTCCAGGTAACAAGGTTCCCTCCTATAAAGGTGCAGTAGCCACTAGTAGACTTTCTGTCATTTTGAGATCCAGCCTAATCTACATCTGTATACACTTCAACTTTCAAATGCCCGTGTCTTTGAAATAACAAGCCAGCACCAGGAAACCTTTTTAGATATCGGAGGATTCTTTCTGCTGCTTCAAGATGAGTGGACCTAGGTGCATGCATGAATTGGCTAAGGACACCAACAACATAAGCAATGTCTGGGTGGGTCATAGAAAGATATAACAATCTCCCTACAAGTCTTTGAAACTGTTTCACATCCTTGAGAGGTTCACCTTGGCTGTCACATAATTTATGGTTGGGATCAATGGGAGAGTCAACTAGCTTCACTCCCATCTTTCCAGTGTCCTGAAGTAAATCTAGGACATATTTCCTTTGGGAAATGAAGATACCCCTTTTTGAGCGGGCAACTTCAATTCCAAGGAAGTATCTGGGAGGCCCTAGATCCTTCACTTCAAACTGAGTGGCAAGGAAACTCTTCAACCTCTGGATTTCATCCTTCCAGTCACCAGTAACAATTATATCATCAACATATACTAGTAAAGCAGCCATTTTACCTTCTCCTCTTTTTCCAAACAGTGTGTGATCTGATTGACATTGCTTGTATCCTTTCTACTGAACCACAACATGGAATCTGCTGAACCAAGCTCTTGGTGATTGTTTCAGCCCGTATAAAGACTTCTACAACTTGCACACCTTCTGTTCATTGCCTTGAGCCTGGAAACCAGGGATTGTATCATGTAAACTTCCTCTTCAAGATCACCATTCAACATTGCATTCTTGATATAAAGCTGATGTAGATCCCAATCCAGATTAGCAGCAAGAGAGAATAGAACTCTAATGGAGTTCATCTTGGCAACAGGAGCAAAAGTTTATGCATAATCAACTTCGTACACTTGAGTAAACCCCTTTGCCACTAAGCGAGCTTTATACCTCTCCACCGTTCCATCAGCCCTATGTTTGATAGTGAACACCCATTTACATCCAACTGGATCCTTTCCCTTGGGATGATCTACAAGTTCTCATGTGCCATTTTTATGAAGGGCATTAATTTCTTCCTTCATGGCATCTGTCCATACAGGTACTGAAAGAGCTTCTGCCACATTCTTGGGGATAGGGACACTGTCAATAGAGGTAAGAAAAGCACGAAAAGAGGGTGAAATGTTCTCATAGGAAACAAAGTTGGAAATGGGGTGTTTAGTGGTGCACAATCTAACACCTTTCCCTTCATTAGCAGCAGAGGTATCAATTTCAATAGAATCAGGAACATCATTGGGAGCCAAGTTACATGAGT